GAGACTTTCCAGCCTCGGAAGCACCTGGTGATACTGGAATAGCATCACCTGAATGCATTTCCCTTGTACCATAAGGACCTTCACTCATGTGTGGCATATGATGCACATGTTGCTGTGGGTGGTGCATATGTTTTACTCCACGTGAGATTTGGCATCCTGGAGGACAAGAGGACAAATTACCACTAGCCAATGAGTTCTCACGATACTGTAGAGTTGCAATGGCATTGTCTCTTTCCATTATGGCATTATTTCGCTCAGCAATAGCTGTATCCCGCTGCAAGAAAGCCATGTCTCGCTCAGCAATGGCTGCCTTTTTCTCAGAAATAGCCAAATTTCGTTCTTGGATTGCAGCATCCCTTTCAGCCATAATGGCCATTATCTGCTTCATTGATGGCTGATGTTGCATCAACCACTGCAACACACAAAGTTACATGAATAAGAAACTATTAATATGGAAAATGAGCCAACACTCTCGTAAGAAAGATATTGATGGATTTTAGGCATCAGATATCAATGGAAAATAGCTTCCAGGTACCTGACCCTGAGCTGTCTTATATTGATCTGCTTTATGTCTTCCATTTTCACGATGTCCACCATCATCCATCTAGGAACAACAAGTGGTATCAGCTTCAGAAATTCTCTGAAAGCTCAGTGTTTGATCAATTCAGAATCATACTGTAGTCCATCTGCCGGATCAAGTACCTGTTTTTCAAAAGGAATATCAGATCCCAAAAAAAGGCATGTCTTCAAACCAACCCCTCCCCCGCAAGCCATTTTGACAGTAACAGACATTTGAAAAGATGAAAAGATACCATGAACCAGGAGGAGAACAAATACTTCTGTTGCTCTTCCCTGCATGTATAATATAGCATATATAAATACAGGTCACTAACAGCAAAGAACCAAAAGACATGCAACAAGTTTACGATTGAATCAACAAAATGATAAAGTAAGCTGTCAAACTGAACAAGCCTACGCAGCCAAGGGAACTTGTCTGCTCAAGGCTGCAGGAGATTTGTATATAGTGCATCCATCAGGAATTCTATAAACAAGGGTCCTCGAGAGTTTAACGACTTCAACTTGACAGCTCAAAACTATCGATCTTGTGGGTGCATATACATTGCCTTGCATGTGAGCTAGAGTTAAGGCAATAAGTTCTAGTTTGCATTGTGAATCCACAATTAACTTGAAATCCTAATTGAGGTTGAACATAGCTAGGTTGAGAACATACATAGAGGGGAAAGGTCATACGTGTCTATACCATGAAATTGATCTTCGACAAAATCAAGAAGGCATTTACGGTAAAATCGCAACAATATAATTAATATGCCTACA